CTGTCCGTCTCAGAAAACAAGTTCTCGCGAGATCTCGTGATCTTGATAAACAGGCGGTAAAATCACAGTTAGTTTACAAACAGTTATTTACCGCTAGTAATAAATAAAAAATGCCCAAGCTTTGTGCAGCAATAGGCTGCAATAATAGGAAGAATGTATTTTCATTCCACCTGCTTCTCGATCTGCATACACAGACATCCACAGAGCCTCTGTTCAACACGGTGGTGGGGAGGGGGGTTGAGGGAGAACAGGCTCTGATTGGAGGGAGAGCTAACCATGCCCACTTAGGAGACAGGAAGAGTAACAGTTTTCTTAACATTGGATAAGCCTACATTTGGGTATCTCCCTTCATCCAATATCTCTGGATGTACCCTACATTTTACTCCCGTATACCACAATGCAGTGCTGTTGTCTTTTGCCAGAGGAGAAGAAGACAGAATTTCAGTTAGTGTCCGAAATCAAGATGTGCTTTATTATTTTATCCACTTTGCTTAAACCGATCACCACCAAAATGTTATCATCTGTTCCTTGTCCCATTATCCACCTTTCCTGAAAATTTCATCAAAATCCGTTCATAGCTTTTTGAGTGATTTTGCAGACAAACAAAGACAAACGCTGGCAAAAACATAACCTCCTTGGCGGAGGTAATTAAAAAAGATTACAAATTCTGACCAAGCGTTCAAAGGCAACTTTAGGTATTTGACACGTTTTGATACTGCTAGAGACACATTCCAGCCAGTAATAATATACTGAGGTTCAAATTTATTTATTTTACCCATATACTTTACTCATATGATGCCTGACTTTCAGAAACAATACTAAAACAATAATCTTTCTGAAGCCAAATTTCTCTCACAAATCTGTTAGATGAAGCAGCCATACAAGAACTTAACTTTTTAAAAAGTAAAAATTTGTGAAGCTGCCCAGGTTCCTGTTTTAATTCAGAAAATATATGAACAAATAAGTAAACCAGACTAAGGATCTGACCAAGCATTTATTAAATAACTGCTAAGTAGCAAAACATTTCAGTTGATACAAGCCCTAAAGCTGCCAAACATTACCCACTTTTCCATTCAAATAACAAAATGATGCCTTTAAAAAAAAAATAGAAAAAAAAACCTTAGTTTGAATGTAACATATGTGATGTTTTTATTTATCAGAATTTGCTAAAACCTGATCAAATGCCCAAAGAAGCCACACAAAAACTTTGCCTATGTTAAAAAAAGTCATTGATTTGCAAAATTTCCAGATTAGGAACTATGTAAAACAGTAACTAGACTTTACTTGATGCTACAGACACATTCTGGCTGATACTAAAAGAGGTACCCAGCTCTAGTGATAATTAGGCTCTCCATCACCATTTTAGGAATGTGTAATTTCTAAAATCATTCTGCATGCATGAGCGGAGAAATGAGACACGGCTGAAAAGAATTGGGATTTTATTAGACACTACAAATTACAGAGAGACGGAGAGGCCGAGGGCTGAACAGCACAAATAAATGTTATGCATCCATTCAATGACAATCAAGACCGAATACACCTTTAAGTTGTATTTTTAAACACTCTGAAACAGTCCGTTGGTGTTGCCATGAATACAATGGTTACAAGTCTATTGCAATGTCCAAAATAAGAAATGAAGAGAGTTGTCAGTGAGTATAATATATATACTTTTTGATGCACTAAGAAGCCCTTCAGTGCAGATCTGAACCTATTCGGTTGGTGCAGTGATGAGAGCTTTACATTGCTGAGAGACTGGGGAACAGTCAGTGGATTCAAGGCACTGGAATAGACTCAGGAGTATGGTTAACGTTTCCGGGTGAGGTAGTGAAATCACTCGACGGTGAGGTACTTTTGGGATACACATGGATTAATTATTGGCTTTTTCCTATTATACATACATATATATGATTTCATAAAAAGATGCTCCACAGATTTAGGAGGCATCGTTCCAGTCTTCCAACACCCTTTGAAGCGCAAAAATACTAAGACCATAGTTTGTGGTTAGAAAATAACCCTTTTCCGTCACACACACACCTTTGGGTTGGATCACTAATGGTCAACCAGGTCTGTACTGGGATCTGACCAGTTTGATTGGGCTGTTATTGGCATCTCTGATCGTTTCATTTGGGTTTTTGAAATCCTGTTTCCACCCTGAAGCAAACCAGATACTGATGCCTCAAGAATGAACACAAAATATGGAAGTCCAGGGCTGCCACTATTAAAATAAAATCATTTACTTAAATAGAGATTTCATTTGCTGTCTGTGAGCGCATGATGTATGTCAAAAAATGTGTTAACAGCTCCATTTTTATTTTTAGGTTTGAAAATGCATATAATTACCAAAATAAAAATCATTTTATCACTTTTGAAAAATCTGTCAGAGCAGTTTCCCTCTGTTTAAAGTCTTTTTGCTAAGCTAAGCTAAGCTAAGCTAAGCTAAGCTAATCGGCTGCTAACTGTGACTTTATTTATTGTGCACATATGAAAGTGGTATTAATATTCCCAGCTGACTGACAGAAAGAAAGCAGATAATATCCCAAAATGTCTAACCGTTCATCTTTATATTTGCAGCCCTGGACTTCCATACAAATGATCAGAAATGTCAACGTCAGCCCTTAAAAACATGAACTGGTCGCATCCTAGTCTTAGACCGATGGGCAAAAAGCAGCATGCAGCTCTACACTCCGACAAAACTAACATTTGGGGAAACTCCACTGTAAGCCTTCATTTAAGAGAAAACAAAGAAAGCCTCCCAGTGTCCATCACTCAGGTTCAGGGACACGCTACAACTGCATTAGCAGAAGGAACTAATCACACACAGAGCAGCAATAGTAACCAGCTATAGATTTCCCTTCCTTCATAGTAACTTCATCCCGTCAAATCAGATCAGAAAGAAACTCACAAGCTGCGCAGTTTAAAAAAAAAAAAAAAAAAAAGCCTCAAAAACGTAAGAATTGAAAGAAAAGTCTGGACGACTCATTAAATGATGCAGGGACGTGTCATGGGAAAGATACAACACTCAACATGATGAACAAACGTGCGTTTCCTTGTTGTGTTTGAGTTGATGGGTTTTAAAAAGTGCCTTAACTGTACATTCTCTCTCCCAGACTGCATTTTTCAGCATCTGCTTCCTCAGAGTTAAATGGGATTTTTATGATATGGGAGCCTAAACGCGGCGCCAACACAAGCAGGAGTGTTGCCATAATAATAATAATAGTACTCATAGTGATAGTGATAATAATAATAATAATGCCCAGGAGGTTTGGGTGCTGTTCAATATCTCTGTGAAACTACCACATCCTAGCTAATATAGAATATCAAAATACCACTATATGCATTTGTCTTTGAGTTATGTACTTGTATTCTTCAATAATATTCTGGATCTGTTGTGCCTTTAAAATACATAGTTCAGTAATGTATAGGAAAAATACTGTACAAAAAGAACAACTTATAGAATAGGTTTATATAAACATATCTTTTGTAACCAATATATCATCTCTGTTGTGAATCGTTTGGTCTGCAGTAAACAAACTGATTGGGTTAACCACAGTATTGGACAACACCATCCAACCTTTTTGTTGTCAACATCTTTTACATTCATACAGCCATCTTTAAAAAGAGGGCAAACATAGAGCTACGATGAGAGACTACAGACATCTGTATTGATTTCTAAAATAAAAACACTCATATTAATCATGCTAAGTTAAACAGAAGCAAAACGAATTATCAACAACTTTGCAAAAAAAAAAAGATTTGCGAATAGCTTTTTCGTTCTGTGAAAGGAAAATCATGCTTAAATCTGAAAACAAGGAGGAAGCTAAACAACAACAATGTCAAGAGTAGTATTAATACTAACAATTATATTAACAGAATACATATATATATATTTATATATATAAAAAAACAACAATCTTCCATCTGAGAAATAAAAGGTAGATAAATATGAGGCGGAGAAAATTTTGAGTGAGTGGAAACATTGCACTGGATCAGATTGTGAGACACGCATTAGTGCAGAGGTTATATAAAGTTATCTTAGTTAACAGAGGTGAGCTGAAATGCGAGGTGGAGAGAGGGGGGAGATCAGCCTGTGGGGGGGGGGTCGGGGGGAGGAATATGTAGGTAGTTATGTCAGTTTAGTTCTGGACAGGAATTATTGCTCAGTGACCAGTTGATGAAGAAAAATAAAACAAATAAAACAGCAAATCTATGCCACGACCGCACAGGAAAAAAGTATTTTTAAAGTGCTATCTGAACATTAAAATACCGAGAATGCTGTTAAAGAAGCCGAAGGGAAGTTGTGTAAGTGTTAGAGCGCTGACAACTAAAATACAACATGAACATTAAGAGAAGAGTTTTAAAAAGGGTCAAAGAGAAGATCAAGTTGCTGATGGGAGAAAAACAAACATTTACAGGGTTTAAAAAACACAAGATTTGTGGGGCATAAGCAGGCTCTCAGACACACCACGTTATAACACAGAAGAAGAAGAAGAAGGGAAACAGGAAACAACAGTTTTCAGTCCTGATCTCACGTATAAAATTGGTATGAAAGTGAACAACAAAACAGCATGGCATCGTTTCTCAAAAGTGGAAGGTAGCAGGGGACTCAGCTGGTGGGTTGGCTCATAACTCCTCACAGTACATTAAAGTGGGAAGTATGCGTGTGTAAATACATATATGTATCTATGTATATATATATATATATATATTTAGTCAAACAATGTGTACAGAAAAATAAAAGAAGGAACAGACAAATTGAAGCTTATGATAGAAGTCAAAATGACAGTTACAATACCAGAATCATACAGGTGTGTGTTGAGGGAGGGTGGAGGGTGAGACGGAAGGTTTGTGTCAGGGAGGAAGAAGGGGTGGGGGTGGTGGAGGAGGAGGAGGAGCAGGGGGCAGTGCCACCATGAGAGACACATTGTCCTTCAAACTCTAGGAAAGTTGGGTCAGGGGAGTGAAGTGGGTGTGAGTTGGTTGTTGGGTAGGTGGTGGTGGTTGTTTTTTTGGGGGGGGGGGGGGGGCTCACAGGGGCCCGTGTCGGGCCTCGTATTTAGCCACAATGTTCTTGCAGCGGCCCAGCTCCTTCCTCATCTCTGCTACCTCCACGCGGAGAGCGGCATTCTCCTTCTCCAGAAAGCTGGCTCGGATGGCGATCTGATTCTCCTTCAGCCGCCGGGCGTCCCGTGACCTCTTGGCTGCCACGTTGTTCTTTCTGCGCCGGGCCCAGTACCGATCGTCCTGAAGAGCAGAGCACACGGGTCAGCACTGAATACAACAGTGGAGTGTTCATCGAAAAATTACAGTCAGGATTTGTTTGTTTATCCTCATCGACCCTGAATCTGATGCTTGGTCTTGAGGTCTAGTATGTACCATGATGGAGGCCTTTAGGAGCGGGCTGGGTCACAAAGTCAAGACATAAATTTCTGCTGATCCTACGCTGTCAGTTTAAATCATGATCAACAGTAAATACGTTTACGGCAGACTGTCCGCGGACCCTCTGTTGAAAGCCTTGAAGCTTAATTTCTTTAGACATGTCTAAAAATAAAAAAGGCAATCATGTTGCTTCACTGCTGTATCACGTCAGAGTGTAGGTTTTTCTCGTCTCATGCTAGATGATTCATCTGAACCTGAACACACACAACGTGCTGCTAAATATAGAGCAACATGTATCAAATAACTTTCAACTGAAGCTGCTTTAAAGAAAGATTTTTCTCTGCTGTATACTTACTGTCTTTACTTTGAGGGGAGTTTTAAATATGAAAGTAACAACATTAACAAGGATTCTCCCTGCTGATTAGTACTCTTGTAAAAGATGTAAAGCAGCGTCTAAAACTGTTCATAAAAGTAAAACAATAACACCACATATATAAGTTGACATTTTTAAAAGCGCAGTCGTCGTATCTTTCAGTATGACCATTTTTTCATGTGGTTTTTGTAATGTGCCTGATGTTTTTGGTCTGTTGGCTCCATTTTCTGTCACTGTTAAAGTTTCTACCAGACTCCCATGTTTGTATTGGTCAGTTTTACAGTAAATAAGGAATTAAACAAATTGCATCATGTTGGGGATAACTGACAGCAGCTAGCTAAAAACATGAGTTGAGATACAACACATGATTTTATTGTTAAGCTTTGTTTAGACTGTTTTCTTCCCATGTTTAAGAATGCAGCTTGTTTGGCATCAGTACTCCCCCCAACCCCTCAGGGCTTGACTTTCCTCAGACCCTCACCTGCTTACATAACAAGAGGCCCCAACATATGGGCCAAAACAGAAGATCTAATCTCACAACGCTGCACACATTCCCACTCCGGCTGACAGACGGAGATGGATCAGGTTACCTTTAGGTCTTCTGGGATGAAGACCTTGCGGGCTTTCTTGATCATGGGCTGTGGCTTCAGCTCCTCTGCGGAGAACTTGCGTTTCCTGGGGTCGAACATTTCCTGGCCAGGCACGCTAGACAGAGCCAGGTCTTGTGGGTCGGGCTCATAGCTCAGGGGCACCTGGATGGACTCTGGGTCAATAGGGCTGGGGGTGTCGCGGGCTGAGGGCAGTGCTGGAGAAGGACAGAAAAAAAAAAAAATACACACATTAGCTACTGGCAAGGGCACAAAATCATCCTATTTTCTTAAAAAGAGGGTGTAAAGAGTGTTGAAAACCTCTATTTTTGGGCAGAGAGGGGAAAAGTCAGCAGGAGACAAACTCTAAACACCTCTCATTTGGACTCTAATGACAGAAATGGAACCATTACAGGTCAAGGTGGCACTTCCATTTGGGGTAATTGGTTATGCAACATCATGGGTGAGCCCTTATCAGCAGATCTGCTCTGTGTAGCCGTTAAGCTGGACAGAGGACACAGTAGGAGCAGCAATGGGTAACTGAAGAGAGCCTCTTGTACCGAACAGGAAGCCTCTGAGGGGGAGCTGAGTGCTGCCTTTCTATGGAGTCATAGGAGTGCCATTGAAAAGAATAAATCTGAAAAGAGTGAGAAAAAAATATAAATATGAAGAATAAATGTGAAAATAAATTACTTTTTTTAATAATTTGTCTTTATAGTTTAAAATGTATTATTTTATTTCTCTTAATATATCTTTTTTTTTTTTTTTTTTTTACATCTTTTTATTTCCTTACTGATTATTTTCTCTTTGTATTTTCAAATTTCTTTATTCTATTTATTCCTCTGTATATATGCACAATTTCTTATTCTTTTACAAATGTATGATTTTTTTTAATGGCTCTCCTGTGACTCCATACATTTCCTCCCTCTGAGCTCACATGTTTGTGTGTTTAAGGGCTGATCCTGTCAGAACTAGTACAAGCCAGTTTTGGTGTACATCAAGAGAACAGGTAACTACTTTTCTAGAAAAAACAAAAACAAAACAAAGAAAAACACTGATACAGTTTATACCACATTATACTGTACAGAGCAATGTTTGTCCTGTCTGCTCAGCAGGTGGTGCTCTAACACAAGCTTTAAGAACACAAGTGAGAAGTCATTTCACCGACTGTTTTATCTTAAACTCTGCAGATATCAGCAGCTCCTGTCAGCTGATTTCAAACCACCAGCTTTAGTCTTTAAACTGTCTCGTCACATGCCTTCACCTCTATTTGTCTGTTGTGCAAAGCCTCTCTAATTGATCTGAGGCTGCGGGCCAGCCAGCGAAGGGTGATTCAGTTCAATTGCCGATCACAAGTGGAACAGTTTCTGCGATTCATTACATTAGCCCTTATTTGATTTGTCATACAAATCGCACCTGCATTCCCCACTCGATCAACAAGGCTCGAAGAGAAACTCAGCAACCGGGAATTCAGTAGCTGCTGATTTGCTGGCAGCCTGTACATCATGACCTACATTTCTGTACTTGTGTGCCTGCCATGACAGCCAGTCAGTGCCACTGACCTTCGGTCAGAGTGTACGCGGTCAAACCACTTTCTGCTTTTGGCCGTGGCGGAGATTTGAGAAGTGGCCATCGGATTCAGCTCTGACTGCTCTCTGGGTACAAAGCAAACAGGAAGTCTGTGTTCAGTCTGAACATCAGGAGACAGTGTCCTGCCCAGAGGAAGTGATGGGCTTCTTCATCACTCAGACATTCAGACATGAAAACCTTCACTGAGCGCCACAACAAGGAAAACTGAAGTGTTTGTTCGTAAATTGCGGGACTATTATAACTGCTAATGAACACATCATAAAATGAGCAGAAATGTGAAAGAAAACTTAACTATAACAACATATATTTCAAATATATGCCTCAACAGATGATGTTACACCTAACGACACACAAGTAGAGCTGGTAATGATGGACATGCTTTCATCCTACATTTTACATTAAATATCAACAAAACACTTTTTCATTTGACAATAACTAGTGCCATACATAAACTGTCAGTCTAAAACTGGCATAATTGAGCCAACTATTTCTTGATTAGATGATGAATTGTTTAGTCTATGATGTGTCACAGTATCGCAGAGCTCAAATGTATTGTTTTGGCCAACCACAAGTCCAAAACCCCAAGGTACTGAAAATATTGTTTCATTTTCTATCTATCAGCTAACTGATAGATAATTTAAGCACTGACGTAAACAAGACTACGAATGTGTTCAAACATTTATCGCCGACTTTGGGTGCTTGACAGTTTGATAATAGGGCTGTAACTAATAGTTAGAAGCTTCATTCATAATGTTGACAGTCTAATTCTAAATCAACATTCAAACACTGCACACAATTTTTTTAATTATATATTTTTTCATGTGTACTCTTCCTTTTTAAGCCTGGTATTTCTGCACAGTTGCAGATAAATGTTAGGCTACACTAACATTATTACACTTTTGTAGAATTCGATTCCAGTTGGGGCTGCGTAGGGATTGTTTCTGACTTGTGTGGTCCAAACATTTCCGATATGTCCAGAGCGCTGTAAAGTCCAAAAGTCAAGATTTATTTTAGAAAGGTATATGTATAATCATTTCCAAAATTCAAAACATGTCTTTATCATTTAGCTTTTCCAAAACAACATTTTCATTGTGGTCATTGTTGCACACAAAGGGAAGCACGCGGCCGGTCAAAGGTTTTCAAAGACCGAAAGGACTAAACGCAAATATATTTAACTTTAAATTGTATAAATCAAAGAAAAGCTTCACATTTGAGAAGCTGGAACCTGAGAATGTTTGAGTAGTTATTTAAATGACTAACTAGTTATCAAAGTTGTTGCTAGTAGAGTTTTTCTTTAATCAACCAATCTCTCCAGCGTTTAATACCCGGCCCTACACACAACAACAATGTTCTGCCGTCAAAATGTCTGACTATAAGATGAATCACACGACTCCTGACACTGGTAATCCATCCCTAAGCTTAAGACATGTACCACCAAACTTGTCCCTGCACCATTCATACCCACAGCGCAGCCAGACAGCAAGCTACTTACAAACTAAAACTAGACACTGTTTTGGACAATCTGTCAGACTCAAACCTGCAAATAGCCAGCATCACCCTAATCACCTTTACGAGTCATTTTAAAGTCCTAATTAGTGGAGTTAAAACACAGCAGCATGGTCAAGGGCTAAAAGTAGTTGTACAAGCTTGTTCATTGACATGTAATGTCCTCAACTAATGTGCAACACATTCCAGGGGAGAGGAAGTAGACATTGTGGATTCACAAAATAGTCCCCCTCCCTCCTCCTCCAACCGTCCTGAACAAGGAAACCTAAAATTAACAAACCAGGAAATGTAGTCCTGATCTGACCTACAAAAAGCTGTTTGAAAGCAACAAAAACACTTGATCAAATACCCACAGAACTTGTTTTTAACTCGACGTGTCAGTATGTATCTAATCACACACACCGCTGGCTGCAGGTCGGTGTTGCGCTAGATGATCGTACCGGAGTTACTGTGAGTGTTATCATGTAGCTGTGTGGGTGATAATACAACAGTTAGTGATAAGCTGAGCTATTGGTCATATCTGTGTGCAGGGACAGAGCTGCTGAACTCTGAACTGGGCGTAACACGGGACCAACAGCAGCCAGTTCCGCCTCTCCGAGAATGTGCTTGGACAAACCATATTTTGCCCTACAGCCCCGAAAGACAAATGCAACAGTTTTTCCCATCCGTCAGAGGGTCAAACTGATTCACATGACCTCTGAAGTGATACACTTTCTTACCGTCAATAAATCAAATGAAAAGACCAAAACCAACAACGCACTGATCCAACTAACAAGCACTGTGTGTGTGTATTCAAAGGTTGTTAGCATAAACACTCAAACTGCAGTTTATTTCAGCTCATTCCCACATACGCCATCCTCCTGCCCCAAATACTCACTAGAATTAAAATTGTGTATTAATCCGCAGCTGTAAAAAGTCCCCAACAAAAGCACTACTTCCTCCTGTTTGTGCAACATGTGTTAAAAACTACACTGACCAGGAAGTTACTGAGGAGAGAACTAGACTTTAACAAAAGTGAAACTAAATGAGCTGCTTTTAAAGATTTACGACTTCAATAGGGAATGAAATCTGAACATGAAGAGATGGATGAGCATATTGTTGGTTTTGTTCCTTTAAAGAGACTTTTGACAATAATAAACTGGCCTTACACTTGATCATCTGCAGAAGCCTAACCTGTCCTCCAATTAATTTATCAACCAACCTCACAAAGTTTAGTTTTGTTTCCACGACATACAGTTCCTCTAATAAAAATTCCTCCTGGTCAGTCATGCAGGACGTGCTGATCCTGTCTGCAGGCCACATGACGAGACATTTGAGAGGAAAGCTACTCTGTTTGCAAGAAAAAGGGCCAAAGGAAACTACTACAATAGGAAGATAAACATTTATACTTCTCAGAGTGCAAATCTGGTAAGAATAAACTGATTGCTTCATCAACAGCCCTCTCTGACACTAACTTCTACATGTTGACGATTATATGAACCCCACATTAAGCCCTATAGCTTAGTTGGTTGCGATAACGATGTTATCAGCTGCCCGCTGTATCACTTGCATGCAGGCACAAAGGGATTGTGGTTGTTGTTGTGGGTGGTGGTGGTGGTTGTGGTGGAGTGGCTGGTTAGACGAGACGGTGCTCGGCTCGCTGGAACAATATTGCATGCACGTGACAGAAGCACACCAGAGTACATGTGATCTCTGCTGGGTACAGCCTGTGCCTTGGCTCCGAGTCCAGGCTGTGTCGGAGCCGAACCCGGCGAGGGAGGGAGAGGAAGACTGGACGGGAAGTGGAGAGTGTTAAAGGGAGAGAGAGAGACAGAGAGAGAGAGAGAGAGGGGAGGGGACAGTGAAAGTGAGAGGGAGGGAGGGAGGCAGGTTCATGCCGTGACAAGCTCCTGTTTGCAGCTCAGCGCTGCACACGGCGCCTGCATGTGTCCGTCACATGGCCCGGCACGCTGCAGGAAACCCCAGTCGCGTTCACGTGAGAGATAAATGTGAAGATGCAGACAGAGACAGACCAAAACAGAACACACATGCGCACGTGCGTGCGCGCACACACACACGGTCTGAATTACGCATATGTGCACTCAGGCTGGAATATAGTGTACTGTACAGATACACCTCCTCAGATACACCATTCTCAAATTTGAGCCTAACATTCGTAGCTTAGCCCACACCTCTGTGGTTGCAGGAACAGAACTGTTAGGCATCATATGTCCAATTAACCTGATGTTAGGATTAAGTTTTTTTTTAAAGGAACAGACAGAAATTAAGGTATGGATTAATGATATTAGAATGATATTAGAATGATATTTACATGTTAGGTCACTTGTAAATTGTCTGTCATCATATTCTGTTTATATTATGTGTTCCTAAAGTTTTTTTTTTTAATATTTATCTGTTAGGTCAGTTATTTATTTTCTATTTTAATTGTTTATTATACATTTCAACCTTTGTAAAAGCCCTTTGACTTTAATTGACTGACTAAATACAGTCTGACCTGTTGAATATTCTGTTTTTTTTGGTCTGGACAGTTGGCTGATTGCTATTGTAGCTTTTCTCGCTTAAACTGAATGGCATTTAGACAATTTAGTTACTTCATTTTTTTGATAATATTCATAATATCACTAATGCAAATAATATTGTCTGGACTTTTATCAAGAATGATGTATTTAGTACTTCAGATTGAACACATTAAGGTTCCTAATCTTCAAACTTTAGGACAAAACACACTGAGAGGAATTGTTTGTGTGGCAGCGGTGCACCAGCTGTGGAGATCTACAAACACCATGCCAACATTTGGCACAACTACACCCACAATGGCTGTCATTATGGGATGGTTTGTGTTTGTGGCTGCTGTAGTCATAGATGATTTCAACCCAAAACAGGACCCAGGACACATTTCATGTATTCAAGCAGACAAATAAGCAGCTGATTCTGAGGTCGAAAAAAAACTCTTCACTCTCCAGTGGAACAATGCATGGTGCTTTTCATTAGGACTCCTCTTCAGCGTTTACAGGTACAACACTCCATCTGTTTATCTGTCACATATTGTCAGATCTTCTACCAGCATCAGGAGCCTTTTTGTGTACCATTTGGAATTGAAACAATAACTATCTCCAGGGCCCTGTTGGGATTTGCCTGTGGAGAGTTTGCTCTGTTTATGTTTACAGTGAGGGTCGGCCCTTTAAATGATTCAAATCATTGTGGTGTCTGGTGAATTGTTTTGCAAACTCACGCTTAAGTCTACATACTAACTGCCTACTTAATGTCAGTTTATTACAATAATACATTATGAAAAGCTGAAATGATGAAATGAATGGGCCTCTATAAGCTTTAGGTTCACACCACTGCCTCTGTTGAAATTTCAAAATATTAGATGGCTCTATGGAGATCCTATTTTATATCACAAGCCCCAAATCAAAGTGTCATATAAAGACATCTTAAAACGCCTTATCATTCATCAGAAATTAATCTCATTGAGTCTATGCTGCAGGACAGAGGCTAAATAATATTCTGCAGAATGTAGTCATTGATGAATTACATTTCTGACTAATGTGAGACGCTTTTAATCAGCAGCTGCCAAACCCTAAAGGGAATCCTTGGAAATGAAAATGAATATTTAAACCAACTCTTACAGAGGAAAAACTTATATACACTTTTATAACAACAGCAAATAAACAAAGTAAACATGACTCATTGGCAGTATTATCTGCCAGTCAGAGCTTTGTGAGACTGTGCTGCATCCTTGAACTTGAGCCTGTTTAGACAGTACTCTGGGACTCCAAAGTCCAGATCAGGGCTGTAAATCAGAGCTTAAGTATGTCAGTGTGTATCTGGTCAAAAGCTCTAACTAGCAGAAGCTAAAACAGCAGGAGCTAGATGAGAAACAGATCCGAATCAGCGCCTGGTGGCAATGCCTACGGAGACACAAACCACAAGAACTTGTTCTCTCTTAGCATCTCTGGGCTAGCTGTTTCTCTAATGGTGGAGGGCGTGTATGTGTGTGTAGCAAGTGAGCAAACAGCAGGAGTCTCCCCTCTCGCAGAGGAGGTGTGAACAAGCATGCAGGTGAGGTTTCAGGTGCACATCAGGTGCCACTGCATGTGATTCCTACCTGCTGTGCTGGGGCTGCGGAGGCAGGTCTGAGGCGCCATGCTTGTGTGAACTGAGGTGGTGGCGCGGCTGCTGAGGTCCACTACGGTGGGCGTGGGTGGGGCGGGTGGCGGCGCCTGCGCCCGCTGCGCCGCTTGCTGGGCCTGGTCACTCTGGGCTGTGTTGGCGGGGATGCCGTTCTCTGACAGGAACTCCTCCAGGTCCATGTACTCCAGCTGAAAGTTGTCCTCATCGTAGGGCAGGGTCTTGTCCCAAAGGGTCGGCCCGAGGAAGGCTGACTGTGGGTGGTTGGCTGCGCTGCTCTCATCTTCAAGCTTCTTCTCCTTCTCCTTGTCTTTCCCAAAACCTGCAAATGTTTGCAAACAGTCATTTCATTGTCTCACAGCAGAGGAGGATCACGGGTCATTGCATGGGTATAAATAGGAAGTGTGCCTGGGGTTTAAAAGGTCAGTCCAACTAATTTATTAAAGGCAAAAAAAAAACAAATAACTGGGAACTTTTACATTTTCTTTGGAAACTACCGTACTGAAAGCTGTTAAATCATTCTGTTCAAGGAATATTGTTGTGTCATTTTCCAATGTAGTGGCCTCTACCAACTAAATTAAGGTAATTAAATTAAAATTATCCTCAACTGTACTGTGGTGGCTGCAAAGCCCAAACTATTTTCCAACCAAGACAAAAAAACTGCAACTATAAAAACACAGTATGGTTTATATCAGTGTGAACTAACCCTTTACATTAAACATGAGATCTCCACTGATGTTCAGGTAATGTAATGACACTCAATAAATACAACAACACAGAGAGTGCCATGCAAACATCCAAAACAGCTTGAGGACAGAAAAGACGCCCTCTGCCGACAACATATGGTATCACTAATATAAATCCCATTGAAGACAAGGGGCTTTAAAGGTTATAAACGCACCTGCAAAGCTAAAAACAGCGCAGTCACAATAACAACACACGATAACGTGTCTGTATTAGCTCATTTAGATAAAAAGTATGAGCTAAAATAGCTTGTTTGCTTAAGACGTTGTTCATGTCAGCCTGTCAGTCAACTATCATTCAGCCCAAATAATCATTATGTTTTATATCCGCCGCGCGCGAGCTAATGACATTATATTGTTTCTTTTTCAACAAAAATTATTTAATATTAAGAGGCGTCACTCTCCGGGGATTTATTAACCTGTGTCCTTAGCTGTGTCTTATCTGTCAAAACCCATCAATGTCTCCAGAATGAGAATAGCCAGCGGAGAAACACAACAGACATGAGGCGTTCAAGTCAAGTTTAGCCAGGTGTTAAAACACGTACCTTCATCATGATGGAAAGGCAGTTTCAGCGGATTTTCCAGCAGGGATTTCAGTACGCCGTGTGTCGGCGGCAGGAAAGTTGGGTTTATAGGAAGAGGTCTGGCCATTTTCTCCATATGTCTTGAAGGGCAACTGGAGAACAACGCTCGCAAAGACAAGACTGTATTTCCCCCCCCCAAAAAGAGACACGACCGAACTCGCTATCCGGCCCCTTATAGATCCTCTCAGACGGGATGAAACGACACCGGAGCTCGGAGGGAGAAGACCGGACTCCGCGCAGCAGCAGGACGGTGAGCGGCTGGCTGCCTGTATGCAGAGCTGGCTGGCAAATAGCTGGGGGAGGAGGGCGGGGGGAGCGGAGCTTTGACTGATCCTCTACACTTCTCCATCCATGTGCGGAGACGGACGCCGGTGACGTCAAAGCACCGGGAGGGCGGCGACGTTTATCGCGGTGCGTTCAAGTGACGTGGGAACAAAACAACTCCATTACCATGGGCGACCGTTTGGAACATGCTGGCTTCATTGACAGTCGGAAATGTTGCTTTCAAGAGTGAGGCGACCGATTCACCGTCTGAGGTGACCAAAATAAGTATAAACAATGCAAAATATTTAGTCCAGTCAAGTAACAATGTTTTTATTTCGTTTGATTTGAATTTATCCTTAAATAAAACTTTGAGATACACAATATTGCATGATAATAAAACTTCCCACACTCAGTCTGTAGCTGTCAACTTCTGTTTTCACTGTTTTAGCCTACTTGCAATTTGATTCCCCACTTATGACAATTAGTACTTTTTCCATTCATACTTTTTGTTTATATCCATGTGACACCTTTCTAATTTTTAACAGTAGCATTGTCATATTCTAACATAGCAGTTTTCTTTCATTGCCTATAATTTATATAATGTATAATTTATATAATCATTTGTGTCCAATGAAATGACTGCAAATTAAATGCAACACAGCAGACCTGGGAATGGGGGTGGGGAGGACAGACACAAGGGGCCTACAGTTAATTTATTTTGCTCTGGAGGCCTCCAAGCAGGTTAATCCAAACATGATGCAAGCTAGTGCCGAACGTTCCCTTTCTGTACATATATGCATTTCTTCAACAGTTTTTGCTCTTACTTGAATATGCAGGGGTAAATATCAAATCAGGGTCAAAATGTTCCAGAGCTGGTAATACCATGTACCTCTACTATTGAATCAAACAGGTTTACTTATTATTTGTGGAAGGATGTTATGGATATATGAAATGATTCAAACTGACCGAGTAGTGTATGCTTGCTTCCCCTAAACACATCAATCACAGACCCTGTTTGACCTGGTATTAACATATTGGATGATCCCATCACAAGGAGACAGTGCTAAATACAAGTCTAAATGACCACTAAGATGCATTGTGATCTAATCACTCATACCACTTGTTGCAGTGGTCTGGAATGTATTTGACCACATGTCTTTTGTAGTATAACCTCTGATGCCTCCTGATGTGTCCCTGACAAGGACCACATCGTTGGGGAAGGACATGGTGGTTGTTTTGGTGACAGTGTGCCGAAAGCTCTATAACTTGGACCAAGTGTTGTGGGACCATCCCTTGTTTTGCCCTATAGAAGGAGACATGTTGAATTCTGACACAACCACTAATGTGACTAGCAAGCATGCTACAGAGCAGCCCACAAAAGTGTTGATGTAATAACTCTGCGGGTCAGTAATGAAATCTGAGCATAAGTGGTCAGCTGGAGACGCCTGATAGGCACAGGTGTGAACAGCGATATGTCTTGACTGTCCACCTGTGTTCAGATCACCAAATTCTTGTCAACACCAGGTCTAAACAGAGCCATATATACTGCTTGCCATAAACTGTACCAAAATCTTTCATATTTCAACTGTCCCTGTGTAATCTTATTGCGATTGCAGCACCACATGGTATTTAGAGTAGGCATGCCAAACATTAAAAATTGGCAATGGACAGCCCCCTCAACAGACTATCTCTTTAGTTATGCTGTGTTTAGACCTCAAAATTTAGTTTTATGTTGTGTAGTTATTTTCTCAGCCCGACTAAAACATCCATAATTTCCCCCAAATTATGACTGTGGGCCATTTCCTCTAAAACTGATTTAAATACTATATAATTTGATATCATACTTTGTCAGCTTGCGCTTGGGTACTATGTTAATTTAAATGTATTTCCTGGTCTGGTTTTCTCAGGTCAAAACCAGTCTTAAAATTAACTGGAAATAACAGTAACAAAACCAAAACCCATTAAAACACATAAAACAACACATACAACCAATAATTTAATAGCTTCTCTGTGTAAGAGTACATTTTTGTGAAATTATCTTTCAACTAAAACTCATTTGGATGCAAACTTTGCTCTTAAAGTTACACTGTGTCCTATTCTTTATGAATAAAGCAGCTTCATGTTGTGCCACTGACACAGATTGGTTCCCTGCTGGTACAGTTTTCTCTTTCAGTTGAGATATGTTCATAAATGAACCCAAACTTTCCAAAACCACTGAGATATGACACATTTCAAAATGAGTGCAATTTTTGCATAGTGTTTAGGTATTTGTCACAGTCGTGACAGAGTAAGTGTCCCAGGGCTGCTGCATACAACTGTAAATCTGAGCAATGAGGGCACAATACACTGTAGAGCCACAGCAAAGAATGACGTGAATCTAAACTTGACCTACTTTTAGCCAATGGGTGTTGTCAGACTGCAATTCTATCTGTGCGGATCGTTGCACATGGAAATTCATGCTTTCTAGAGTAGTAGTGGCTGAGTCATAGTTAAAATCCTCACTCTGCTCTGCCCATTTGTTTGTATTAATGATTAGTTCGTCTGTATCATCCGCATCACTTGTTTGACACAAACAATCCCACAAAAACAGATCTGAATGACGAGCTGAAGAAAAACTAATTGTAAGATAAGATGTATGAAAAGAGGCTTATGAAAGGAGCTGATTGTGCAGACCAGACTGGGACAAATCCTTTTATCTCAAACTTACCTCATGCTTATGAAAATGTTATGCTATATCATAATGATCTTGTTTTTCCAGACATCAGAGCAAGTCTTTTTTTCTTTTTGCATTTCTTTTTGTGGCAAGAAGTTTAAGTTGTTTGAATAAAAAACATCCTCCTGTCCCCTGAATTCAACCAGGTCAGACGGTCTTGCTCTCTTCTGACTTTGCCTTTTGAATCATGCATCTTAATGAGACTCTACATGTGGACGGCCTGGACGTGCCTTAGTACGCAAGGTTAATCCTTAGTCATCATGATCTTAACCATTTATTTCAAAGTATGCCAAAACAACAAGATATGCTGCATATAAAACACCAGATAGACATCTAGTAACAACTCCAAGGCTTTCTCCAAGTTTTCTCAGATAAACAATATACAGAACAAAATTATTATCTGTCTTTATTTTATGGGGTGTAAAAATTCTGTTAGTATTAGAGCCACAATTTCTGTTATGCTTTGGGGGACGCACACAAAGAATAATATTGTCATGGATTCAGTGAGTTATGCTGTGAGCTGTAACGTTAGCCCTATTCAGTTTAGTTTATTTTTTTATTTTACATTTTGTCAACTTGGCACCATCAAAAGTACAGTGAATTAACTAGTAATATTGTACCCATGGATGTACAGACAACTATCAATGGATTAGGCCTTCTTAGATACTGAAGAAAACTTAAAAATGTGTTATAAGGAGCACCTTTTTCTGACGTATGACTTCGATCAGGAGTACGATTTTTGAGCAAATTGCAACAATCAGGCACTCAAGGTTTAAAGGTCCAGTGTGTAGGATTGATTGGCATCTAGTGGTGAGGTTGCAGAACCAAAACTTCCCCTGTGTGCCAAGCGTGTAGGAGAACTACAGTGTCTGATGTAAAAACGTGAAGTTGCCCTGTCTAGAACCAGTGTTTGATTTGTCCTCTCTAGGCTACTGTGGAATAACATGGCAGATATAAACAGCTTAATCGAAGGTAATGAAAACACAACAATTCTTATTGTAAGGTAATTATAAACTCATGAAAACATAATTATGGATATTATAAACCATTTCTGCTAATTGATGCCCCTAAATCCTACACACTGAACCTTTAAAGTACCTTTATTGCCTTCATGAGCGGCATGTTACAAATACTGCTGCAGCTCCAGCTGTTCATTGTGCTGATAAGTGGCCAAGTCCTGAAGAATATCTAATAGCACTGTCCTGCACTGATTCACACCTAGAAGGATTTCCAAGGCCCTGAGCCTTAGCCAGATAATAAACCTCAGTAAAAAAAAAAAAAAAAAAAAATTATCTTAAAATTCTTAAAAACGAATGATGTTTTAGGGAGATGGTGAGCAAATTCACTTATGGGGTGCACACTGAGCAGTTCTAAATTTTCAGCCACTCACTCAAGATAAAACCTTTTTTTGGGTCTTCAACAACAGAAACTGAAAAGGAGTTCTTAAAGACAGACTGACTGAGAGCTGCAGTGAGGCCAAAGGTTAAGGTGGTCAGAGTATCTGATGGGTCACAGGGGCCCAGTCAGCTGCAGATATAGCTGATATTTTGGAGCACCCGCCCCCCCGCCCCCAACTCTCTATGCAGTTATGTTTTTTAATGCAGGATGTGTAAGAATCATAAGTGTTTTTAACTGTGAGAAAGTGCTGCAGAGGGGCGTTTGTGACGTATAAGCTGAACAAAACGTGTGTTGTATAAACGCGGTCAGCTGAACAGAGCAGCATGCCCTGAATCACTGTAGAGGAGTTAGTCAAGGACACATAAAAAGGAAAATTCAAAGAACTCCAGCCCTATGAAAATGTGATTTCAAGCTGTGACGGCGGACTACAAAGACTTATGTGTGGAAGCAAAGGGGATTACACAGTTTAACAGAGGCTAGCTGCTACTCAGTGTCAGGATTGGACAGTTTTGTTTTATTATGATGTTTGCTGCGTAGATAGATCAAGAAAATCTTTTTTGTGGCTAAATCCTTTCAAAGTGAAAGAAAGAAACAGTTTTAAAGGAGAATGTCCTTGCATGATTATGGACAGTTCGGTCCATTTGTTAATGTGTTAGTTTTGAGATATTCTGATATATTCTGACTTTAACTGTATATTTTGCAGGATTTTTCTTTAAATACATGCAGAAAGTTCTGTGAAGATGATACTGTTATTGGGGGACATTTGATTTGCAGTAGCACAGGAACATTATGAGATGGGACCATTTTCTGTGAGCTTGGGTTGCAGTGTCTTTAGGTTTCTAAGAGAAAAAGACACAATTCTTGAGCTAATTTTAGCTTTAACACATAAAGACCCTGCAGGAAAAACACATATAATGCTGTCCAGTACAGTGTGTGGTTGTTCATTCATCATCGTCTTA